AATTTAATTCAGTGCTTTCTTCCATAGAAAGCTTCGGAAATACGGTGATCTAGTAGGCATCATTTATTTCAGATTATGTGATAAAATCTTGTGATACTTAAATTTGCGTTGCTGCAAATTTCATTTAAAGCGGTTTGTTGCACATTAGTCTATATGAGTTATAAATTTTATTCCATGGGTGTTCTTTTATCCATCCGTCTTCCAACCATTGATGTAATTATTCAACCTTTGATCTGACAGACCCTCTGTCCATCCATCTACCCATTATTCACCCAACATTTCATCCATCCATCATCCATGCATCTATTCATCCAGTCACCAATTTATGAATTATTCACACATTCATCTGGCAGACTATCGATTCATCCATCCATCCATTCATCAAACAATTCATCTACCCATTAAACCATTCATCATTCATCCATTATCCATTTATCCAGTTACCATTTCATGCATTATTCATACTGTGATCTGAAAGACCCTCTGTCCTTCCATCCATTCATCCATTTGTGCTAGCCATTCAACCTTTCGCCTGACAGGCCACTGTCAATCAATTGATCGATCCATCGATTCATCTATTCATCCATCCATCCAACAATTCATGCATCTACCTGTGTTTTCAGCCTCTGATAGGACAGACCATCCTTCCATCCCTCCATTTATCCACCCAACCATGTACTCATCCATCAATCATGAATTCACCTGAAAGCTCATTGTCTTACATGATATGCCATCTAGCCAATCATTCACCCATCCATCAATTCTTCCATCAATCTGTTCTTGGACTGCATATATGGCTAGATACCTGTTTATATTATCCGAGATTTTTGGTATTTATTCACTGCTCATCTAAAACCACCATACAGACAAGTACAAGCGCCTGACATTATCTTAATGTGTAACAGAAATGTTCTTTCTTCTTCACCAGGCTGTGTGAATGCCAAGCAGTTCAAGTGAAGAAGAGCTAACAAGTGGGTGCCAAAACATTCACATTAAAGTGACATAAGTGGTAAGGCACCTGTGCGAAGTAGTTTCTTTCAATGATAAAGTATTTGAGAGTAATTTCATTTAATCTCTTAAAAGCTCAATTTGCTTGTCTGACCAGGGCTACCTTTGCACCAGCCCATCAGACTTCAGCACATGATTTTTTATTTTATTTTTTTTAACGAATAATTTGTAACTCGAATGGGCTCCTATTTTACACTTTTATTACTTGTGCAATCTGACGTGTGTTATTCTAGTATCATACCATTATATAGTGCTGTTGAGTTCTTGAATCTGATTGGTCAGTAGGTCCTCATTGATGTTTTTATAACAGTGAAGGTTTATATTAATGCAATTTTTCTTATACTTTTCTAATATCGCTTCTGTAGTACCAACTCATTCACAGGAATTTGTATGAATCCACATAACCTAATAATAAAAAAATAAATGTGTTGTTCTTTAACAAAGGAAAACATACTGTATATTAGTTGCGATGGTGACGTTTTCTGTAAGGATGCCTTTATTTATTTAATATGGATGGAAGTCAGCTTGTAACAGTCAGTAGGTGTTCTGCCACAGAAGAATCTTCAGACCAGAGGACATTTGATTTCTCAGAAACATGATAAAGCAGGTAAGGGAATGGCAACTTATAGACGCTATAAAATGAGTGATAACAGGAACTAACTGGTCTCATGTATGTTCCACAGCAATAAATGTACCAATAAATTGTTAAAAAAAGGATACATTTAATTAAATGACTAAATTAAAAAGTGTAATTATTGGCAAATCAGTGTGGTATATGAGTAAAATTCTTCAGAATGTAATGTTCACGACATGTCATGCTAAGAAATTTTGGTGCCGGCCAATATGTCCGGGAGTAATTTACCAGACAAAACTGGAAAAAATGCGGTCATCTAATTTCTGCACTTTAACGATTTGGACTATGCATAGTATATGCGATTGTGGCAGTGGGGGCGTGGTCAAATGTGATTCTCACCAGTGTTGGATTAGCCTAAGTTTACTTGTGTGTGTCTGTTTGTGCTTTCAGTGTCTCCCATAACGAGAGAGAGAGGACTAGCACAAAGACATGTGAACGCATGCGTGCATGTGAGTGTGGTTGAATGAGTAGGCTGAAAGTCAAAATAGAGAGAATAAAAATGCCTTTTGAGTTTAATCAGCCTGCCTCCCTCAAGTCCTGACCCAACCCAGTGTTTTAATAACAACAACAAAACAATCTAGTACACAGTATTTACAGTATTTTTTTATTTTATCTGACATTTTGAATTTTTAAAGGTCAAAAACCAGTATTCACTGTCTAACGGAAACTCTGACATATACTAGCCTGTTAGTTTTAATGCTATGACACACTGTTTGCTAATAGTTGTCAATTAGCACAAATTTTCCACAGGTTTTCTAAAGGAAATGACTTACGTTTACCTACAACATTTTGATGAAAATGTACCCCAGTATAGCCATCATCTTATCATCTTCTCTTGTATAGTTGCTGTCACTGTTGCTTTCAACACCACAGTTTTCTGGCATTTATTCTGCAAACGAAACGATTGTGTTGCATAATGGGATGCCATACACCATTAAAAAAAAGCTCTGATCTCATAGATCATCTGGGTATCTTTGGTGTGATATACCATTTCAAAAACAACCCATTATTAGGGGCATGGCTTTATAGAGAGCACTGAAGGGAGGGGGTTTGTTTATTTAAAAACAGCTAGCTTCAGCTACTGACTACACCTTTCACAGCTTATCGCCTTTGTACATTTAGTTTATTTTAATTTCAATCTACTTTCCAAATTTTTAAGAGTTTTAAGATCAAGTGGTACATTTCTGAAATATCTAAAAAAGTGCAAAAAAAAGCAGCCTTTTGTTTTTATGCACCAAAAATCTGCAACACATCCACGTCCTGCTCCTATTACCTGGGCCCAGCTATTCAGAAGAACCTGATCAGATTTCGGCTATCGGATTGGATCAAATCTTGAAAATGGGTTGTTCGAAAGAAAAAAAAAGGATTCTGAAATCAGATTAGGTTATGTAATCCAATCTTGCTTTTCATCTGGATCAAGCCTTCAGTATGTGTTGTTTAAAGCATTTGAGTAGGATTGGGATGCTTGTTATCCAAAAAAAATCAGGATTATCCTGAACCCAGCAGGGCCCAGATGTTCAAAAAGTTGAATCTGGATCAGAATGATCTGGATTTGAATATCCCATGTTCTGCTATTCAGGTTTAAGGAACAGAAAATTATTTTTTAAATAATTCTTAATTAACGAAGGTGCACTTATCTGCTTATTTATTTAGTTTATAATTTAGTTTATAATTTCTCCACTCTTGTACTTTGTATTAAACCTTCAATTATGATTTCTCGTTAAGCATTTTAAAATGCATTCATATTTTATGCATATCTTATAAAATTTACACTTTCACATTAATATTTTTTTTATTATAATGTTTTTGCGTTGAAGTCTCTGTCTTTTTCCTGCTCTCTCTCTCTCTCTCTCTCTCTCTCTCTCTCTCTCTCTCTCTCTCTCTCTCTCTCTCTCTCTATATATATATATATATATATATATATATATATATATATATATATATATATATATAACAGGCTTATATATATATAAATAACAGGCACATATATATGTGTGTGTGCTGTGTGTGTGTGTGTGTGTGTGTGTGTGTGTGTGTGTGTATATATTGAAGAGGAAGTGAGAAGGGAAGGACCTTGGTGTTAATTATTGAGTAGCTGACACACTGAGAGTCAAAAAAATACAATTTATCTCTTTTGTAATGTGACTACATCATTTTATCACTCAGAGCTCTCAAAACAAATATGTAATAATCAAGGAAACGTTTTTTTTATCGAATAAATGAGAATATATTTACCAGATAATACATTTCCATTTATTTATAACACTAATGTCAAGATAACTAATATATTCAGCTTTTATAGGCGAATACTCATTGCTGTTAGAAAAATTAACCTGTCATTAAAAACCCTGAACTGATTTGGTCCCTGGAGCACTGACATTAACCATTTACCTGTGAGAATCATTTTTCAGCTTTCACAGTAAGACTAAACAGTGCACTATATAAATTATTTGAGCGTCTGCACTTGGGCCTACGCAAAATGGAGCCATTTTTCGCAATAATGAGATTGATATTAATGAGTGTGGCTCCTGTCCAGGGACTTCCTACCTACCCAAACAGATGTGCCATAATTGTGTTGACTGATTGAACAGAAAAAAGGGGCTCCATTTTCTGCTCCAATCGCAAGCCAGCAATCACAAAGCCAGCAATCTGAGAAGCGTGTTGGTCAGGTTAAGTAGGTCAGGTAATGAAGGGGGTTTACTACTTATTTATATATTTTCCCCTGAACTAAATATACATCTGTGAACATGCACTACATAAAGTAAGCTTTTAAATATTTATAAAATTCAAATAAAGAAAGAATTTGAACCATGGGACGGAGGAAAGAAAGAAGAAAGATAGAAAGACAAATTATGGAAAAAAGAAATGAAGACAACAAATTATTGACAAGTAAGAACAAAGAAGAAAAACCACAGGAGAAATTAGAACGAACGAACGAACGAAAGAAGAAAAAGAAAGAAAGAAAGAAAGAAAGAATTTCCAAGGGAGCTATTTGAAATGAAGAAAGAAAGAGTACCATGGGGAGGAAGGAAGGAAGGAAGGAAGGAAGGAAGGAAGGAAAGAAGGAATACAAACCATGGGAGCAATTTGAAAGAAAGGAATGATTGAAAATTACTGAAAACACATTTCAATGTTCACACCCATAGGTTCACACCCATGTTAACAAAACTCCACCCCAGGGACCTACAGAATAGATTGTCTATAAAATGACTGACAGGAGGCCCATCCAAACACAAATAAGCATTCCGGACTGGAAAAATCAGTTTTCCAAATGGAGTTTCACAGCAAAAGTGAATACACTTTTGTTGAGACCACAGTTTAAACTTTTATGTTTGATCAGGTTTTATATCACTATATGGGCAATGTTAGCTCAGTGGTTAAGGTGTTGGTCTACTGCTTAACAGGTCATGAGTTCAAACCCCAGCACTACCAAGTTACCACTGTTGGGCCCTTAAGCAAGACCCTCATTTGCTCAGATGCATGAATGAGATAAATGTAAGTTGCTCCGGATAAGGGTGTCTGCCAAATAATGTAAATCTTTTTTTGTGCAAGTAATAAATAAATAAATATAAAAAATGACTATTGCAACTTTAAGCTTGACTTGTTTTAAACTAAACTGAGCCTGAGTATCACTCCATATGTAACATCTTGGCAGGACTAAATGAATTGAGATGTGAAAGTGTGTGTTCACCCTGCCATATGTCTTCCTCCATCTCAGGGCATGCGATGCAAATGTGTCTTATCACAACTTGTTGTGGAGGCCTCTGAGTCTTGTTAGTGTGTTGTGAAGTTAGCACTGGGGCTGTTTGAATGTGTTAATGAGTAGTGTGTGTCTTTGTGTGTGTGTGTGTGTGTGTGTGTGTGTGTGTGTGTGTGTGAGAGAGAGAGAGAGAGAGAAAGAGAGAGAGAGAGAGTTAGGAAAAAGCAGGAGGTGTGGGCCATGACACCAGAAGGATGATGTTCCCCAAGGCCACCGTGCTCCCTCCCTGTCTCCATCTCTCTGTGCTCTAACTCATTCTGTTCACTGTTTAGCCTCTAAATCAAGAAATCTCTGATAAGAGTACTAATATATCTCTCCAGCACCTCTAATCGCCCTCTTTTCCTTCCCTTGTCCTCAATCTGCTCTCTCCTTCTCCTTCTGCTTACTCATTCCACTCTCATCAGGTCTTCTGTCAAGGTTTTCATCCTGCAATCACCTTGGTAAATTTCCCTTCCATAATCCATGGATATATCACTCATTCACGAAGACATTGAAGTCTCTCTCTCTCTCTCTCTCTCTCTCTCTCTCTCTCTCTCTCTCTCTCTCTCTCTCTCCTCACTGATTTATTGCCTCAATTTGAATTCTCTGCTTGAGCTGATTGCTGATTGGACAGCCTGAGGATGATACAGTAGTGTTCCTTCTCTGATTGCCTTGATGCTCTTCAACTTCAAGAGGTCACGATGTTGACCCAGAATAACTGTCGTAACTATAGCCTGAATCGTTTCTTCACTTATTAGCCTACAGGGATGTGACTTAGCTGACACGCAGTACTGTATCTAGCCAAATAAATGCTGCATGTTGACTGCAAAACCTTCTAACCGTAAGCTAATTCTGTTCGATTCTAAACGAAGGAAATCAAGACAAAACCCATAATTGCTAAGTTCACTCTGCTGTTAGCCATGTGCAATCATGAGATCATGCTGTGGTATTTGTCTTTCTTTCAAATGTGCCATGACAGAATTAGCTATTATTATTTCGTAATTTAATAATCATTATTATTATTATTACTACAGTAGCTCAGTCACAGTTTAGGTGCGAAAATCAACAACAAAAAGTCACCCCACACTAGCACACGATAAAGTGACAGAAACAGAGGCAGGATTTCTGCGACTGTAGCGAGCTACAACTTCATAGTGACATCGTGACAAACAACATTTGAATTTCAGTTTTATTAATTTTATGCATATTAGGTATGATGCTGTGAAGCTGCACATTGAAAACATGTGGTTCAAATAATTCCATAGACGAATCCTATGACACTTGTTTCTCCAGTTCTCCACTACAACTTTAACAACAGCAATTAGTTCCCATTTACACAGTACAAAAGAGGAAAAAAAACATGAAAAACCATTTCAGGATTTCATCTTATCCCATCATATACAACCTCTCATCAAATGATAAAACGTAAAGCTTGAAAGGAAGGAGCAGAGATCGTTCGTGCCTCTGGTGAGTGTACCTATCTACAATAGTATGGTTAACAAAGCTAGTATGAAGCCTAGCATGTAATACAGTATGTAAATCAAACAACCAATTTTCCACCAATTTAGGACAGGCCAAGCCTACAAATGACAACAATAGCCATCACTATACACCTACCTATAGGATACAAACTACAAGTGACACAAATGACTAATGTACTACAACATGTTGTCTTTTCTACACCCTTACCCTGCATTTACAATAAGCATGAGATCATTGTAGCTAAAATATACTGCAATACACAATCTACTGTGAGACTTGGCTTTTCTTCCATTTTTGATTGCCCAATGTGGTTGTATAAGGGCTAAACACAAGGTGGAACTCAAGTTGTGAGAGTAATGATTTCACTAAGGCTAGTAATGTGGATTTGTCGCTTTACAGCATCCTTCCTAAAAATAAAAAAAGTTCTACTTGGAAAATATAAGACAATCCACTGTTACAGAGGTCTACAAAGACCCTTTTAAGGTTCCCCCAGAAGGACAGATGAAAAACCTTTTGGGTGAACGAGGGTTCTTTGGATGCGAAAAGTGCAGTTATCTGCACTCTTAGAAACAAGCTTTTCACGGGTTCTTAGTTTTGTAAAAGAGTTCTTCTTGGAGCCATGTCTGATTGGGAAACACTCAATTGGTGAAGAGCAGACATGTTCAAGCTTTTTCCCCATGAGACCCACTTCACCTTTTTTGAGAACATATATTAAACCACAATATTCGACCTTGGCAGAAAAAGTAACCATTTTCAGATAATCCAATGATTTTCATTTACCTTGATAAATAGGGAGTGTGGGGCGCACGGTGGCTTAGTGGTTAGCACATTCGCCTACACACATGCATGGTAGGTTGATTGGTAGGTTGGTAAATTGTCCATAGTGTATGAATGGGTGTGTGAGTGTGTATGTGATTGTGCCCTGCGATGGACTGGCACCCTGTCCAGGGTGTACCCCGCCTTGTGCCTGATGCTTCCTGGGATAGGCTCCAGGTTCCCCACGAGCATGAAAAGGAGTAAGCGGTTGAAGATGGATGGATGGATGAAATAGGGAGTGTGTGGCGTCAGTGTATCTTTCGAGCATCAGTAGCAAAAGCCAAAAATAGTACTAGTGTGAAATGTACTTTCACACTAAGGCAGGATTTCCATAGAGCTTCAGTTAATATTTTAGAGTTCAAAATACCTGTGCAAATATTGACTGACCCCCGCCCACACAATTCCTTTGCTCAACAGTCTGAATACTTGGTAAATGGTAAATATAGCGCTTTTATCCAAAGCGCTTTACACTGTGTCTCATTCACCCATTCACACCAATGGTAGCAGAGCTGCCATGCAAGGCGCTAGCTTGCCATCAGGAGCAACTTGGGGTTCAGTGTCTTGCCCAAGGACACTTCGGCATGTGGAGTCACCCGGGCCGGGAATAGAACCGCCAACCCTACGATTAGTGGACAACCCGCTCTACCAGCTGCGCCACAACCGCCCTTACTTCTCTGTGTCTAGCTGTTTTGCAATTATCCATACAAATGAAACCCCTTTCCTTTTTCCAAAGCAACATCCCTAAAACACCTTTTCTCTATTTAGTTGTTTTTAGCTCTGTGAACTTTTTGCTTTTTATGAAGTTTTGTGTGTGTCAATTAATGTAAATTGGCAGTGTCATCAGTGCCAGTCCTCCCTATATGCAAACTACGCAAGTTGTGTACCACCACAACCACCACGGGGCCCCAATCAGGGGCCCAATTAACTCATATATTATTTACCGTCTGTAGATATTTTTTAGAACATGCAAATATAAATGCAGATTCAGCTTTAGAGGAGTCATGTGGAAATTTCTTTAATGTTTTCAGACATAATGCGCATTGTGGCAGGTAATAACATCATTGACATGCGTTTTGATACGGTTATCTGTTGGGAGCAGAAAAAAAGAAAGCAAAAGCACCAAGAACATGAAGCAAAAGAGCAAGAAGTTGTTAAAGGTATGTATTTTTTGTAATATTTTACATTCTTAACAAACCATGCAATGATTTAAATAAAAACAATACTCCAGTCAGTCCAGATCAACAGATTCAATAATAGTCTTCTAATGCCCCATGATGAAATGTAATTTTCAGTTTGTGCCGGTAGACATCAATAACCAAAACGTTCTTATACGTGTTTTAATGTATAGGAAATAAACATTTTACATTACATTTACATTACAAGCTGTCATATGACTCCTGTGCTTTAAAAACAATACCTATTATTCATTCAAAGTTTGCATATTTAGAGAATTATTGATGTATTGAAATCAACTCACTGTATGTTATTTGTTGACAGAAAAACTGCTCTGAAAGAACAAATTAAGGGGTGGGGGTCATTTTGTGATGTTTTTTTAACACACAGAGAGGGGGCCCCTGAAAAAATTTTACTTAGGACCCCCAGAAGCCTAGGACCAGCATTGAGTGCCATGAATGTGTTTGGTCATTTATAATCTGGTGGGAGTTTTTTGTTTGGCTTGGCCTATGAAAACATTTACTAAAAGATCGCTGAATAAGGCCCAGTGACTTGAAAAACTTTGACTATATCATGAACCGACTCCCAGCCATACAGCCAAAGTTATTGTACAGTATCTGTGTGCTAATATAGCCGTCAACAAACCATTTACATTCTACAATACACACACGCTATTCTAAGACAGCTGGTCTGGGGCCATAAACTAAAGCACAACTCAAGGCATCTTTATAGGTTTTAAAGCTCTAACTCACTCTCTGCCTCCTTTACCTCATCTCTTAATCACTCCTACTATTCTTTTAACACCTCACTTCTTCAATCTAGACTCACTCTCTGTCCTCTTCCTCATGTTTATAGCCAAACCATCACTCACATACACTCTCTCTCTCTCTCTCTCTCTCTCTCTCTCTCTCGCTCTGTCTCTCTCTCTGACTCGCAGTGGGAGTGTGCAGTAATTAGGCAGTCAGACTGTGTTTACAGATGCAAAAGCTCTCTAATTTATTCCAACAGTTAGCAGTAATTCCCCACTTTAATTTATAGCTCTCCCACCCCACTGCAAGTGAGCAAGGGAGTGAAGGAAGCAGAGAGAAACACAGCCTGTGTGTGTTGGTGTGTGGTGTACAGTATGGTTGTGAAGAAGAAAGACAGCAAGAGAAAAGGGAAGGAGGTTGCACTATTGACCCCGGGAAGCACAAATTGAACCCACTAAGCCCTCATGTACTCT